AAGGACGCAGTTCTTGTACGGTTTGGCCAGGAAAGGGACAACCATCCGGCTAGTTTTCACTCACATTTAGTTGTTTAATGAGATTGTTTTATGTCTGTTGTCACTGCATAATTAGAATCAAAATTGCTTACAGGTTTTTTTCTGTTTTCGTAAACACCTACCTACTTCAGTGTGGCCTGACAGAATGATTGTCGTGGTGTGCGCCAGACTGTTGGTTTGTGGTTTGTCATGTGGGCAAAAGGGAAATTTGGAGGTTGGGGTGCAAGTGTGCTATTAAGGATACAAGAGTGCAAAAAACTGTGGTGTGGGTGCATTACAGGAAGATTGCGTTTGTCTGCATAGAGCCATCCCATTTATGCCGGTGACTGTATGTGTAGCTGAACAGACAGAGACAGACAGTTGAATGAGAGATAGAGCAAGAGGCCTGGAGTCAGCAACACCACAACATCTGTGAGAAAAGAACAGAATCTGCTTTTACTCATTTTTTTTCTTCTCACCACCAGGATTGTGCTTCACATTTGAAGTTTCTTTTTTTTACTCATCACCTGTTGGAGAAGCAGACCATGTTGCTCAGGTATGTTCATTCACATCTTACTTCTTATGATTTAACAGATCTTTTTGTTTTACAACTGCAAAGCTGAGGCTGCTTAAATGAAATTTTTATTGCAGTATATTCAAGTAGATGTAACACCACACTTTGTAACAAAGTGAGCTATTGAACAGTACATTTATATTGTTGCTGAAGCCTCCAAGCATTTAAGTTATACATAATACAGTTAAGTAATGACACAGACAAATACATTTTACTTTATTTGAACTTATAAAACCTGCAGACGTAATCTGACTCACTTTTTCATCAACTTCTTCATTTTACTAACTGAACAAGTGAGTTTTGAGTCTTGACAGTGAATTATGATAAAGGAAACAGCCTTAAGAAACCTACCACGAAACATAATGCCGGTAGTAGCAGGATATAGTTATTATAACTCCGTGTTTCATAACCTTTAAACATTACGAAATAATTCACACATGGCACATGATGGCAAATAGCCTTACAGACAAGTTTCACTGATATAATACACAAATTTAATGTACACTGTTTATTCTAAAGGTCAGTGAGAGGACATTAGATGTGTAATTAGAATCTTAAAAAAGAGGAAACACATTTGTTCATGGATTGCACCACGACCAAGTAGAAAGAATTAGGTGTACAACATTTTGCAATTTTTTTTCTCAGATCGGAGACAGTTTATTTGATCCAGACCATTAAAGCCTCTTCAAAAGCTAAACTCACCGAACCAGGGCTGTAATCTGTGACACCTCAATGTGACACAGCTGTTTGTTTGATAGCCCGCTCCAATTAGCTTGACTTTGATAGCTATGTCTTTTTTAATTTGAAATAATTCTCACTTCAAAGGTACCTTCAACCACTCCTTTAGCTGTGTTATAACCACAAAGCCAGTTTGTGCATCATTGTCAGTGGAGTAGCTCGAGGCTGCCACTTGATGACATCACATTTTGGATTTATTGATGTGAAGAAATCCTGCTTGTTCAAACATGAAGTAAATCAACATTGTGTCAGGAATGGCATTTGCAAATTATTAAAGTGATCTATTGACTGATGGAAAAGTTAAGGATAAAATCATTATTCTAGCCAACGCAAAAGATGAGTTTTAATTGACCCAAAGTGATAAGGCAGATTCTCACCACCTATTTATTGTTTAGCTTATTTAAAAAATGTTACATAAGGTGAAACAATGCAACAGGTAGGCTATAGGGTGTCTATAGCTGAGGGCAATTGCATCCCCATCTCTGTGGTTAGGCTTTTAAATTCAGGTTAAAACATCTGAACAACTAAATGTGTTTGCGTATATGCCTGTGTGTACATATTGTTCATATACGTATGCCCTGACATACTGTGGGGTGTGCGAGTATGTGTGAGTATTATCAAAAATGTACATTACGCAGCTGTACAAGTGACAAGATCTGGTTAGGAATTATTCAGTAATGAAGCAGCTGTTTCATTTGTGTTGAAAACTTGATATTTTGATTTTGTTTTTAAATAAATTGGAATATTTATAACACAAGTTGGAGATGCCAATACTCTAAATTATCGGCTATTGTCAGAGCTCAACCAAAAGAGTTGAAAGATAACTGCCATCATGTTAGCCGAACACCAAATTCACCAAAGCAGCCATCAGACCCCAGTGTGTCTTGTAAAGCAAGCTGTTTTCCCGCAGATTGTCTTATCAGGGGTCGGCATAGCTGTACCAGGGACAGCTGATGGGAGGAGTCAGCTCAACTGAACTGAACCCTTCATGTGCTCCAATAGACACAACAGCCAGACAGTCATTTATTAAGCACCGAGAGGTCTACAGATATGTAGCTTACTGTATGTATTAGAAATGTGTGTTTGCAGATACTATGTCTTTTTTTGTGTTAAAGTTTAGAGGCTGGGTGATCATAACGTGCTGTTCTGTGTCTTTGCCAGGTTGGTGTGTTGTAGCTAGAGCCTGTTCTGAATGTGTTCAACAGCCAACTATGTTCTCCCTCTGAGGAGAACCTGCGAGGTAAGTCTCTCTAAGAAACACATAATCAAGACTCAATTAGATTTATGAATGAATGAAAGGTAATCAATTTTCTTTTCTGTTACAAGGTATTAGGTACACCAGGCAGGCTGTGCGGGGGAGTGTCCATGTCAGCTAATTTCCCTGGAGCCAGGTCTCATGGAGCTGCCCAGGACATAGAGATGGATGTGGCTTGGCAGGAGCTGATGGCCATCACAGAACTGCAGGTAACTCTTCTGCACTGACACACTGAGAGCACTGTAATAATGTATTTTTATTGCCAAATATGTTATGTTATGTGGTGTGTCTTATGCCAGATATGCACAATTACTGTATATTGTCATAATACGTCATACTGTGTTATCATAGAGGTGCATGTTGCATTGTGAGGATAATTTAGTAAATAACATTTTTTGTGCTTCTCAAAACTCAGATATGCATGTATTTCATCAATTAATTTTAACCAGTGACAAAACTGTGTTATTTTCAGTGTCATGGTAAAAGCAGAATATGAAGCACAGCAGTTAAAATGTGGTTCATGAATGAAAATGAAAGTATAAACAGAATACATGTTGCATTTTAGATACATATTTTTCTATATTCATGTGGTGCTAACTGTTAAACTAACACACACTCAGCTGAGGGAGGCAACAATGAGGCATTTGAGTGATGGCAGGATGAAGAGATTGTGAGAGGGGGCAAGTGCTGTATGTTGCTAGCGGCCCCCTGCACCGCACAATAGCCATCTGTTTCCAGGTGAAACCCGATCATGTCTATGAGAGCCCTTCATAGGCGATGGGTGGCATGCTGAAGTGGGGGCAAACTGTGGTCTGTAGTGAGCCAGATGAAATGTGTAAAAGACAGTAATTGAGTTAGAGGTCTTTAATTTAATAGTTGTGTGTGAGCATGTGAGCTCTGATGTACCTGTCAATCATAAGTGCATCTTTTTGTTTTTGTTGCAGGAGTTTGAAGTCCCCAGTGAAGGCTCCTATGAAACAACACAATACCAAACCATGGAGCCCATGGTCCCCATTGGAGGATATGGGATGGCTCAGTCCCATGCGGAGCCTCCTCCTGCTGCCTGTGAGCTCAGCGCTGCGGACACTTACGATGGATGTTACTCTGAAGAGGTGCCTGCGTGTCATCGTCTGAACAACAACACAGAGACAATGTATGCACCCTCTGAATCTCAACTCAATCAAAGAATGCTCCCCATCTCTTCTCACGCGCAGCCCTCGCACATGGCTCTTAGGGAACATATGAACATGTCTGGTACTTCTCAAGGGCACAGGAGGGCCAACGCTTGTCTCTCTCAGGATCTACGTCGGCACATGCTGTGGACTACACATGGACAAAGTTCACACGCACGCCCAGCTGAAGATCTAGAGTCTGACTCAGGTCTGTCTCTGGGGTCCAGTCCACCTTTGGCCTCCCCAGACAATCCTGTCGGTGGTGCACCAGGTTACCAGGGTGTAGACATGGGCATAACATACAGTGATGGTGAACCAGACAGCATGGCAGAGCAAGCCAGAAGAGCACATGTCCGTTACTCAATGGACTACCAGGGTCAGTCTCACTCATATTTACACTCAGGTGCACATCCGTCTTTTTATTCACCCCCTAATTCATCTCAGCCTTTATCTAATGCTCTGACTCCTCGGTCTGTGAAACAGCAGGGCCAGGCCTCTGCTCTTGGCGACCTGTACATAGACTCTGGAGTGTCCAGCAGAGGGAGCTCACAACATAACATGTACACAAAACCACAAGGAAGCATCTCCACTCCGGCTCCGCTGAGCAGAGACGAGCGGCGCGCCATGGCTTTGAAGATCCCTTTCCCCATGGAGAAGATTATCAATCTACCTGTGGATGACTTCAACGAGCTCCTGACGCAGTATAGCCTGACAGATAGTCAACTTGCACTGGTCAGGGACATTAGACGGAGAGGGAAGAACAAGGTGGCAGCTCAGAACTGCAGGAAAAGGAAGCTTGAGAGCATAATTCACCTTGAGAGAGAACTGAACCAGCTGCAGGCCCAAAGAGAGCACCTGACGCAGGAAAGGCTCGAGTTCCAGCGCAGCTTGTCTTATATTAAATGTCGCCTTACAGACCTTTACTCAGAAGTGTTTACTCACATAAGAGACGAAGATGGAAAACCATATTCGATAGATGAATACGGCCTACAACAAACACCTGATGGTAAAATTTATTTGGTACCTCACACAACTATGCAAAAGAGAGAGCACTGCTGAATAGATACTCAATATTTAATACCCTTACAGAAGGTGTACTGCCTGATTGTGCCAACTGAAAGTGTGTGAACTGTCTGGAAGTTACTTCTCATATGGCTGACTTAACTGTTACATGTAAAACTTGTCATTCATGTTATCAATGTACACTTTTCATGCTTTTAAATTGACTGAAACAACACCAGAGTGCCTTATAAAAAATACTTTATTAAAAAACTAAAAACACTGCACAGCAGTCTTCAGTAAAAAAGTATAAAAGTCTTCACCATCAGCATGATTGTTCAGGAAGCCTGTAAAAGAGAGAATAGTTAAAATTAAATAAATACCAAAAAAGAAAGTGATGTGGACAGTTTTAATGATGAGGATTTGTACCGATTGAGCCATTGTGACTGGAATGCTGAAATGGAACTCAGGCTTTGGAGACCGTGTAGGGACTTTCCTAGAAAGCAGAAATGCCAAATAAGTAAAATGCAACTCTTATGCAGAAAAGTGTTCATTTTGTTCACAGCATGCAAAATGTTTTAGGGCCTCTATGCCCTATTAGGAGGCCAATTTACCAGTCAACAATGTACATCGTAATAAAACTTGTTTTCACAAAAATGTTACGTCATTACTGGGCTACACAACTTACTACCAGCTACATGACAAAAGCAAGACATACTATCAGTAGTTGAGAAGTCTGGTCTTACCTACTGACAGCACTTAAGCCTTTTGGTAGCTGCTGCCTGCTAGCCTCAGGCATCTGTTCTCACTCTCCCCTGCTTCAATGATCCTGGCGGTGGTTTTGCTACTTCTCTCCCTCAGCTGGCTTCCATGACTAGCCTCAAAGACTTTGCATGTAAGCTAGCATCCTCCAGTTGATCTTTGCAGAACTCAGGGTAGTCTGTACCAAGTGGTGAGCTCTTTCTGACGAGGCATTTGTGCACCACTTCCCATTCCTCAGTCGGTATTGTAAATGCATCAACTTATGACTCATTGTGTATGTGGTATGTCTCTTCTCACATCACAATTGTTTGTTTGGCTCCTCACGTGTATAATATGTCCCTCATCCCACGTTGTTCACCTAATAGTGAACCCTCCCTTTCCCAAACCACTCAAGAGGCTAACGACTTTAAAAAAACTGAAAGATGGTTTATTTCAGCTTGATTGGTTGCAGTTACAAATAAAAACCAGGAAAAAAAAACTACATAAAAACCTCATTGGAATGCTTGCTTTCCAGAAACACATTTAGATGAAAAAACACAAAACTTTTAAATGAAGACCCTCCATGATTTATCTACTGTACATCTCTTCTTGCAGCAGCTGTAACCTGCCACAACTGTTTGGCTGAGCAGATTTAGGAGGTAAACCTGCAGCTGCCCTGTCACTTCGCTTGCTCTCCTCTCCTTGCTCTCCTCTAAGTACTCAGTCCTGTTGAACAATACGGAACAACATTGTTAACTGTGCACTGACTTCGTATGACCTGACATCCAGAGTGAATTTTTTTAAGTTTATCTACACTTAACGAGTCCCTGCAACTACAAACTCTGGTTTTATGATACAAAATTATCAGTTGAGGCATGCCATCGTGTACTTACCAATTCACATTTCAAAACCGTGCTTGACGGCCATATCCACCACTGTTGGAGCCACCTCCGTAGCCGCCACCTGGAAGCAACAGAGGAAGTCTCAGCTAACAGAAACTATGCCAACTGACGTACACGTAATACAAAATGCTTTATCCAGCTTACCAAAGTTCCTGCCAACACCGCCACCACCACCACCATAGTTGTTCTTCATTGGGCCAAAGTTGGAGGCCTGTGGATCGTAGTGGCCCATGTTGTTGTAGTTATTGCCACCGCCGCCACCACCACCACCACAGTTGCCTAGAAGTTCATCAGCAAGGGGGGAAAAAATTAGTCAATAAATTTTGAACACAGACCACGATTGCATTAAACAGGTGCAGAACCTTGTATGATTTCAGATGGTACTTACCATAGCCGTTGGCGTCATAGCCATTTCCACCATAGCCTCCGCCGCCTCCACCACCCTGGTTGTAGCCACCCTGGTTATACCCTCGGTTGCCGCCGCCGCCACCGCCATTATTGTATCCACCAGGACCGCCGGGACCACCTCCATAGCCTACAAAAGTATAGCCTACTTAGTATGCTACCAGACTTCTTTGTCAGCTGAAATATTTTCACAATAAAATGTTACTTACCACCACCCCCATTACAGTTGTAAGGACCATCATCATATCTGCCTCTGCCACCTGAAAGACAAGCAAATACACCAAATCAGCTTTCAGACATTGTATATTATGCTAGTTAGTAAACAAAAACTATTTTAACCCCATTATCAAAGAAGCCTTACCCTGACTGAATCTGTCACAGTCATAGGGCCTTCCACCAGTGCTGCGGCCTAGAGCAAAACACAACCATAAGCTCAGGAATAGTATTTACTGTGCCAGTGTGTCAACTATGAACATTAATCTGGTTTAACTGCAAAAGCTATATCTTACCTCTCATTCCCATTCCTGCAGTCTGCATTTCCTGTCTTGTGAGGGCCTTCCTGACTTCACAGTTGTGGGAGTTGATTGTGTGATATTTCTGGACTGGGGGAAGGAAAAGGTATTAGCAGCCATTCAAGACAGTTAGGTTGGTGAATCTGACTATATGCAGCAAAAATCAGTGAACATTTGCACTTACTGACAATCCTGTCGACTGAATCGTGATCATCGAAGGTCACAAAGGCAAAGCCCCTCTTCTTTCCTGTATTACGGTCAGTCATGATGTCAATGACCTCAATCTTGCCAAATTGTGTGAAGTAGTCTCGCAGGTGCGACTCCTCTGTATCCTCCTTGATGCCCCCAACAAAGATCTTTTTCACTGTGACATGGGCACCTGGCCTGTTTGAGTCCTGTGATCAAAGACATTTGCCATTGTAACTTAACACATACCTTCTTCATGCACATGACATTTACTCAATGCAGGTTTTGTAGAATATAACATTCAACATACCTCCCTGGAAACGGCTCGTTTAGGTTCAACAACTCTCCCATCAACCTTATGAGGGCGGGCAGACATGGCACCATCAACTTCATCAACTGATGAGTATGTGACAAATCCAAAGCCCCTGGATCTCTTGCTGTTGGGATCCCTCATGACCTAGAGGTGATGATATTGGTTACCAATGTTACCTACAATGTTTTTTTGTTTATCATTACACAGAATTGTTAATTAAAGCAGTGCAAAGGGCTGCACTTACCACACAATCTGTAAGCCCCCCCCATTGCTCAAAGTGAGCCCGCAGGCTTTCATCTGTGGTCTCGAAGCTCAAACCTCCAATGAACAGCTTGCGAAGCTGCTCCGGCTCACGTGGGACCTGCACAATGGACAGGGAAAGACACGAGCATTAAAACACGCACCGTCACTTACAGAAGCACTGGGTGCAGTTTCGATAGCTATAATTTCACAAGAACCGCCACAGAATTGAGAATGCTGTTATTAGTTTAATCCTGCGTCACATATCAAAAATCAGGACAGGGTGGGGGATGGAGACGCCGCCGCCATTAACGTTAGCGGACAGCTCTGCTATTATGGAGTGCTTTCGGCAGCGGTTACACGAAAACACAAAACCAATGTGTCTGTAATTATTATGGTGTTTCTGCATCTTTAAGTTGTTGCAGAAGCCAGGAGTATAGCGAAATTATTAAAATACGTATGTAGTGGTCCACGAGAACAAAAGGACACGAGGCCCAGCTGCAACAAAATGGCGGCTTTACAATGCCCAATAGCTGCAGTTGCTAGAAAACGTAGCCTTTGTTTAGCATCGCGTATTCGCAGTAGTTTCAAAACTAACGGCAGTTTTTACACACCCAGCAAGCACGGAATGGGCATTAGAGTCGTTGTGAATGCAACACTTACGTTGTTCGCCATTTCTACAAACAAATCCTTGACGACTCCTTGAGAACTGACCGGAGAGACGTGATCTGCGTCAGACGAGCCCAGGCTGCTCCTCAACAGTAGAATAAATAGCAAAGGAAACGCCTCTTCCACGCAGCGATTGGTCAGTAGTTCCCGCTGCAGTCTGTCGACAGCATTTGTTGAATTTTGATTGGTCAAAATTCAAAGAAATCACTACTAATGGCCAATCATCTGCCAGCAGGCGGTGCAGTTCACAATCGTGTATAAAAAATGGCTACGGGTGTTGTGTGTCAGGGATATGTGTAAAATACGAGAAAAACAATGGCCACTGTAAAGCCATGAATGCAACATTACCGAAGACACAGGACAGCACTTAAAAATGACAGATAACCGATTCTTAATGTTTATTATTTTGACGTGTGGGTGGAGGTGGAGCTTTGCCTCTCGGTGAAGCAACGTCGATACACGACAATATCGACACATATAAATATCTAATGTGTATTTTCCATATAGACACACAATGCAAAAGCATCATAATAAAAATGTCCTGAACACTTGGAGAATATAGCTATAATCACGGCAGGAGGGATGTTAGCTAACCAATGTAGGTCATCAGCTGACCGAGGGGCGGGCACATTCTTTGTGCGCCGCCTTTAACCCGCGCTTTTTACGCACAGCAGCTTTGTGTGATCCAGGCTAGATGCTAAAGTAGCCCCTCTGTTGGCCTCACAGACCCGCAGTTCCACAAAAGCCACCCGTTATTGCTGAAGCAAACGAGCCAAGACCGTCGGTCCACACATCTCAAGGGTGAGAAACTGTTAGGTTACATCAAAGAGCTTCATGCAACAACTAGTATCGGTTTCCATTTGCATTTTGGTATCAGCGTTAGCTAATGTTAGCTTGGTCTAGCGTTAGCTTGCATGCTAACGATACCTGCTTTAGCAAGTTTGCCTTTCATGCCCTTTGGTTAGCTAGTTGCTTAGCAAACACAACACCATGTCTTCACTCTAATGTGCACGTAATACGTTTTCTGGTAACTTCACGTTATTTAACATCGTAAGTATTTAAGCGAGTGGACGGTTACCGAGAGATCTTTAGCCCTCTAATTAGTTTAGCTTCCTTCTGTTTGTCGTGCCTGTTGCAGATTGGGTAAACGACAATGAAATGATGCCTTTCGTTGATACACGATAGTATCTGCGGTATGCAGCCAGATCACGTTTTGTGCTTGACGATAGAGAACCAGGTGTATCAGCCAGAGAATATCATCCATATTCTCTGCAACGTTAGCGTCATTGTCGTTTTCTTACGTTACAGGGAAGTGCCATTGGCCTGCGACAGCGTGGTGTTCAGCAACAAACTTTATTATGGGCAAAAAGTCTCGCGAAGAGGACTCCTCCTCCTCAGATGAGGAAGAATATGTTGTGGAGAAGGTGCTGGACAGGAGGGTGGTCAAAGGCAGGGTCGAGTTCTTCCTGAAGTGGAAAGGATATTCAGAGTAAGTTGTTTTTCTGCTGGTGTGCTAACCAGAACTCACTGTTAAACTGCCTACTCAGACAGCGGTAGCTGTGCACTGTAATGCTCCTTTAAAGTCCAAGCTATGGTAGAAAATGAAGATTAGAAGATAAGCTGACGTTACATTGTTATGGAAATTGCAGATTAGATCAAGTTTGATAATATAATACTGCTTTTAAAAGATTATCCATCTCTGAACAGTGTTGTTGATGAATAGTTTTGGTTATAGTGGTACTGACGTGCTGCACTGTGTTGTGGTCTTCCTCAGAAAACACAACACCTGGGAGCCAGAGAAGAACCTGGACTGCCCTGAGCTTATTTCAGAATTCATGAAGACCTACAAGAAAAGCAGCAGCAGCAGTGGTGGAAGCTCCACGCCTAGCAGCGGGGCCAGCAAATCTGGCTCCTTGGGACGCACCAAAGACTCCAGTGGCTCAAAGAAGAGGAGCTCGGATGACGATGAGGAGGGTGGAAGTAAGCCCAAGAAGAAGAAGGAGGTATGTAATGTGTCTGTGCAGTAGTTTTATCATGTTCTTGAAATGGCATCAGAAGTCTGTGTAAGGGTTATAGTACATTTCAATATGCATGTGTGAGGTTATCTTTTTTTCAGGCTTTGTGTGCTGCACCTTAAAGTAGCTTTCCACTCTTGGAGGAAACAATAGCTCAGCTCTAGATTAAAACCTCTGTATTTGTATGTTAATTAACAGCTGATGGGTGTCTCATCTTAGAAGAGAGAGACAACCTTTACATTTCCAAGAGCACACTTAGGCAGCTCTTCATTGATAGGTAGGACTTTTCAGATTACCCGTAATTCTTGAGAGGTGGGGCTGTTTGCTGAAGAACACTGATCGGTGGAGCACACACTTGCAACGTTCTGCACTTCCTGGTACGGGCATCTGCCGCAAGCTGTATTTAATTTCCATAAGCTTCACTTCGTTTCTGTTTTGATTAAGGATGGGTACCGAAACCCGGTACTAAATTAGCTGCGGAGCTAAATTATTAAAGACCGTAGTATTGATAAGCGCTAACTGTATCGGTTCTTTTGTGCCGACGCCGATCTCCTCTACACACACACACACCGATGCGACACGATAACCGGTGAACAGCCGAGCGGCCCCGGTGCAAACAAAGTGAAATAACTTGAAAAAGACTCGAGCTGACGGCAGCTACACTCGTTACTGTAAGTGACATTAACCCTTAGGGGGTAAGAAGCCAATAATTTATCAATACATGTGTTCAGTAAGCATGAACATGTAAACATGTAGACAGCTATAATCGATGCGCTCCATCCACAGTCTCTCATCTACCAACACTAACGTTATGTCTTACACAAGGACAGTGCGCTAGTTCAGCTGATAGTGAACTGTTACTAATAAGCTGAAATGACAGCTGTCTGTATGAAGACTAACTTAATTTGACACGTATCTTAAAATACTTTTAAACTTAGCTGCTGGCTGAGACAAACAGCCACTCCTCTCTCTACACTAGCATGTAACCAGCCAAGCTGGCAGAGACAAACACAGGGCACACACCGACTCATCTATGTCATTGCACTAATTGGAATACATTTCCTTGAACTTGAGGTGAGGTGGAAACGCAAATCTAGGTAAACGAATTCACCTAGGTTCACCTAGGTAAAGGAATTCGTTTACCTAGGTAAATCTAGGTAAACGAATTCAGTGGGTTTTATACCGAAAGGATGCAGAACGTCGTATTTTTATTTTAGTTTATTTAGTATTGGAAAGCCTTTATTAAAAGATAATTTTCTGGTTTAAAAACAAAACAAAACAAATAATGTAAGCATATAAATATGCTCTGTAGAATTGTGACAGAACTGCACACCCACTGTGTAAATCATACATTCATTTGCTAATGTATCTAAACATAACTAATCTACAATCTAACATTTGGTTAAAACATACTCCAGCATTTAATTAATTTTTGTATACTATAAAACCATATTTTTTGTCTTTCTTTCTTGTCTTTCAGGATGACATTCTAGTCGCACGTGGCTTTGAGAGAGGCCTCGAGCCTGAAAAGATCATTGGAGCAACTGACTCATGTGGAGAACTAATGTTTCTTATGAAGTGGTAGGTTTGTTTATGTGTATCTCACAATTTGCATGTTGAAATTAGTTTTGGCACAACTTCGTAAGATTCCAGCACTCTAATATTGTCATCAGAAATTGTCGCACAGATCTTCGATGACTTGACTCTGGTATTCAGTCCAGGCCTGTCCCAGATTTGGACGTTAAAACATTGCACTGACTTCTGTGTATTAATTTGTCATATACTTGTGGTTCACTGGTTCATACTTTTTGTCTGCAGATATTTTTCAGTCATATTAACAAACAGCCATAGTGCTTATGTCGCTCTTCAGTACACCAAAACTACAATCATAGCCCAATAAATGTGTTCAGTGCGCTTGCAGCATCTGCATCAGGGTAGTTAGTTAGTCGACTACGCTGATAGTCAACACTGGAGCTGAAGGTGTCAGATCAGCAAACAGACACTGGTCATGCTGCCTTCCGTGTTTGTTATCTATACATCTGTTTTCATCACAGATTGTTTTACATGAAGGTAAATTTGCGACGACTAAAAAAGAAGCTAAATAATATTATTCCCAGGTAGCAAATACCAGTGCTTTGACATGCCCGTCAGCAACTTTTCAGATCCTTATTAAGTAACTAGTGACAAATTTAGGGAGTTTATTAGACCCTGAGTGAAAAAGTCACAGTTTATTCCCATGCATGTTGCTCTGAGTAATTGCAATAATCGGTTCTTCTGCCAGAAGCATGGGATCTCCCCTTTACTTTCTCTCTTGTATTGCACAGTGTGGGGCAGGTTGCAGCATGCTGCCTGCCAAGTGGCACCAAGTAAACAGGCTTACTGAACATACACCTTTACATTCCTGCAAAAGACTTTGATTCAGAAATAGATTTGTTCAGAAACATGTCAGACAAAGTAAAAAGCATTGCATTAACTTTGAGTTAGATTTTTAATATATACACAAAACCTCCATCCAATAACGCACTATTTATTTTGATTTTGAGTGAGAGACGGTCCTGCAACCTGCTTTGGAGAAGAGTGTAGACGTTACACAACTGTCAGTGTTTTGTTATGACTAACAGTTGGATTTGTCATCACAAAAGTTACAAAAATGTTTGTGTACTGACAATAGCAGGTCAGATAAGAAACTGGAATCGGCAGAGAAAATCAGCGCATCTCTATCACTGACATTAGTGGCATGTATCTATATGCAGACACTGCATTCTCTGAATGTTGGGGACTTCTCTGGTAGATGCGCACAGACGTCATCTGCAGCTTTGGAATCAATGTCGATACAGTTTCTTAGTATTCAGCATCTACAAATGGTTCAGACACCACAGACAATACATGACGTGAGCTTAGTTGTTTTGACAATCTTTAACTATTTTTTCTTTCTAACAAACAACTAAGATGATAAATTTAAATAATATAATGTTTCATGGTCCGGGCTTTAGTACACTGTATGGGTGCAATTTTTAAGTTGCAGGTGTATGGTAAGGATAGTCTACTGTTATTTAGTGAAACCCCCAAAAGTCCATTCTGCTAATGATGATAGCATGAGTGACTCATAAGTACACTGCACTGGTCTTTCCACTTAATCAGGTACTTAGTATTCATATTTCCTCTTTAAAAGAAATGGTATCGGCGCTCTTCTGGTTTCGGGGTGTCGACCCTTTGGTACTGCGGTTGTTGCCTGCAATGGTTTCCGTCTGCACAGCTACTGCTGGTGACTTGTCATGGCATGATTCTTTTAAATGGCAGCTCTCAATGTGCCAAATTGCTGCTGACAAATTGCCCATTAGCAGCACTAATAGCCTCGCTGTCCATTCATATACAAACAGTAAGCCACACCGTAAAATTTTATGTCATTACGTATTAGCCTGATGGATATATGTGTAGTACCTCGTCACTCATGCCCGGTCAAGCTCCATTCCAGGGTGTTGGCTGGCTCAAATGAGGCAACAGTTGTACCTTAGATGTGATCTGTTAATTTTTTTTATGAAGGGGGTAAAATCCACAGAAATATTAAAAGGAAAATAAATGCAAACATGGCCAGTCCCTAACATATTCACAAGCTCCACTTGCCCACTTTGCCTGTAAGATGAATGATTTTATAATGTCTTGAAGCACCGTACTCAAATAATTAAATGTGGGAGGGGGGTTATTGTTAAATTTGTATAAAGGCATTCACAAGCTAAATGATATAATCCCTGTTTTAATTTTTATATATTTTTGTAATTTGTAAAGTTGCCGACAACTTTTCAATCCATCGACGCATTAAAACACTCCAATTTATTAACAATAACCATTTATATATGGTACATGTATGGTTTATATATGGGAGTGTAATATCTGGCTTGTGCAGGGATGTGCAGTTAAATTTAACCACAAACTTTGGTCTTTATCTCTCACAGGAAAGACTCTGAAGAGGCTGATCTCGTGCTCGCCAAGGAGGCCAATCATAAGTGCCCACAGATTGTCATAGCCTTCTATGAGGAGCGTCTCACCTGGCATGAAGACAGTGACAAGAAGGAGAAGGATGCCGTGAGTGCGTGAGTGCATCACCTCAGGAGGAAACAGGACCTCCTCCACTGCAGGGACAACCTTGAGTCAGACATTTTCACACCCAAATCCCCCAAAAAAATATCTCCATCCATGCCCCACTGGAGCACAAGGGCCCCAGACTGCTGAGAAGGATCCATCAGACACGAGGGGGAGCTGTAGCGGACATGGGTGACATGCTACTGGGGAGGGTTTCTGCTGTTCTGTCTTTGTATTCTTTCCCTCGTTTTTACTGTCTTAACACATTATGTTTTAGTGCTTACGGGATACCATCATTTCAGTAAGGTATGTTGCATCCATGAGCACAGATGGCCATCTGCTAAAACTCAGAACATAGTCTTGAGAGCCAGAGTTAGTATAAGCTGTGTTAACCATGAGCTTGTCCCATGACAGGTGCACAACCCCCATCATCAAGCCTTTATAGGCAGTGCACCCCTTTGCTTTAAGAACCCACTAACACCACTGAGGATAAAACTGTAGTATGAATATTCAGGAAGCAACCACCGCAGCACTTTCCTGACTGCATAATCACTTCCTTTTTAAAAACTTTTTATCTCTTGTAGATTTTTTTTTTAAAGTTTGTCCCGCCTACGAGGACATAACTACTCGATTTGCAAACTTGCAGACACCGGCCAATTATGTCTTTATAAGTAGTGATGATATCCATGTTCATTTTTTTAAAAAAAAAGAAGTCATTTTATCTTCTTGTTTCCAAGTTTTAACGTGAATGTTGTGTGTTGTTGTGTTTTTTTTTTGTTTGTTTGTTTGTTTTTTTAATTTCTTTATGCTATCACCAGTTCAAAAAGGACAATAAAATGAATTTTGCTCAGTTTTGTACCCTTTTTTGTTTGTTTTTAACTTTTGTAACACTCATGTTCACAGGTTAGATAATCTTTACTGTATCCACATGAAACGAAACCAGCATTCAGCACCAGTCATTGGTGTCTGCCACCTTGTGGCTAAAAGATAAAAATCTTTTGGACTGTGTGACCAGTCTAAGACGACAACCCTGCAGTTTGATGGTGTTATTGAACTTGTTGGTTAGTGATATTTTGATAGTTATTTTTTTTGTTTTGTTTTTTTAATGGTGTAAAGTGGAGAAACCCACTCCAAAAATAGTGTTGTTGATATCATGGTAATGTTAATTTGAATCATTAAAATAAGTTTCTGATTGGATTGTTATATCCAGGGTTTTATTGTGATGAGTAATTTTGATTATTCTCGGCCGTAAGTATTCAGATTTCAAGATGGACGATGTTGCTGCTGGGCAAGTGGACGTCAATTCTTAGAAGTTGGATGCCGGTTTTGTAGTTTGATCTTCGGTGCTTCAACATGGACTCTTAGGACCAAATGATAAGCGTCAATAGACTGAGATCTGTTGTTTTTTTTTCTTTCCTTTTGAATCTTGTAAATGAAGCCTGTGACCTTCTCCCCTTTCATACATACAGTACATTAATCATGAATATGGTTTGGTGTATTTTCTTTAATTAAAAATATTTTGTCCTTTCACGCCCTTAACTTTGTCCTCAATTTTTGCCGGTGCAGAATTTTTAAAAAGTAGACTATTGTGTCACCGAAATGTTATGAATATGTGTACAGTAGCACCCTTTAATAAACATTTTCAATGTTAAAGTTGCTCTCAGTTGGCCTTTGTTTCAGGGTGTGAACGAGCAGGAACTATCAGAGGCATTTTTTTTTAAATGTCAAAATGACTCAATTGATGGGGGTTGTTTTGGATGAATCAAGTATTAAAATAAATTACACTAAACCCTAGCTCGACATCAGGACGTTTCCTAATACCAGGAGGAAAAAACAAACATATGTCCTGAGGGACTATTAAAACCCTGTAAATCACAAATATCATGAGACCAAAGCTGTTTAATGTGGCCTCTGTTGATATGAGACCATTTTTTATGTTTTCTCTGTTGAGGGAAACGTTTCCAGAGCATCAGCTGCTCTCACCCAGCAGATGGCGCTGTTGAACAACACCAATGCATTAAGTCGTAACTGCATTTTTATGCAAGTCATTCACAGTTCAAACAAACACACAAACTGGAACAACTCATAATCTCCTCTGAGCAGCCTTTATAGATTATTATGAAACTTTTAGCGGGGCATGGATTCATGCTGTGTTTACTGACTCACGCCACAGCTTTCTGCAGGACGTTAATTGGCTTCTGAGTCACTTTGGTTCTTCTAAACATCTGCTGAACACACCTGTAGGTCCACAAAGTCATGTTGTGCAGTGAAGCATGCAGTGCTCAAACCCACACAGATTAATTTTGAATTATAGTGGAGTTTCCAAAGATGGAAATGTGTTAATAAAGCACATGAAAAATAAACAGAATATCCCTTTTTTTAAAAAAAGCATTAAATGCTTTTATAAGAATCAAACAGTAATCCATAGAAATTAGGGAGCAGAGTGAAAGCAATTAAGCAAGACATGCAACAAAGGTCCCCAACCGGATGCAAACTGAGGACATTATGGTTCATGCATGGTAGGCGCCTTAAAGCCTGCGGCCCCCACTGAGGCCCCCCACTTCCATTTGATGTAATGATGCAGCCATAAAATAATGCGGTCAGTGTAAGCACCACAAAGCTTGAATGACAAATCCAATACGCTGCTTATGTAACTCTGTATTATGTGCGATTTTTTCTCAATTAGAAAGTGACTTAATGAATATAACAAAGAGGGAGCAAAGCCACAGGACATTTAGTCACAATCTGGCCCCTGTGACAAAAACAGGAAATTTGATGTTTATCTTGATAAATAGAATAGTGACCTGCTCTGGGGAGCTACTGCACTATCAGTAATAAACTGCAGTGAAGGTTGAGCCTAATCCTTGTTCTTCTCTCACCACCCTCTTTTTCTTTCTTGCTGCCTTTTATAGTGACTCCCTCTCTCTTTGTAACACACACACACACACACACACACACTCAAAGTGCTGCTCAGCTACGTCTAAAGTGATGGAATTTTCCTAGCAAAAAGGCTTTTACACTCCAAATGGAATGCAAAGGTCACTAGTAAATTTCCAGCCCCTGGGACCATTAAGCTGGGCAAAGGGAGCGAGCAGCAGGCTGTTTTATGGAGCCTGGAGCTGTCTGCTGACAAACCCAGGCCAGTAGGTTTGGTTGGGAAAGCCACAGTGGCACTCATGGGAGCTCTGCCTGTGATGTGTGTGGCAAATACAGATGTACGTGGTCAACGGGCGTGCAGAGTGAAGCTTCAGCGAAGCTAAAAGTCTAAATGAGGATCTGAGCCTGGTGCTAGAGATGAGTGTGTACTGTATGTGTGGCAGAGTCAATAAGGAGATGTGTATGTGCCTTGTTTAGTTAAGAAGTGTCTGCTTTTTAGGAGGCAAGGGTGCAGGGTTTGTTTCAACACTGGGGTGCGCCCCCCCCACCACTGCCTATGTGAGGACACATTAATGGATTTTTGAGATTGCACTGAAAAAGCTTTTATTTTGAATATAAACCCATGAATTAAACATGCATTTTAGTGTAACTATAGTGTATTTTTAATTGGAAACAATAATACTACTTTTTAGCCATGTCTTGCAGAGAATGTCCAATGTCTCTGTGGGGACTATGTGTTAATGTAGTTGCATTTTTGGTGTAAATTTATTTATTTATTATTTGCAGCAGCCTCCCTGCACTTCAAGTCCCCCCTGTACCAGTAACTTCTAGTGCAAATGAGATCCTCAGGGCGCTGCCCACGGCAGAGGTGGGTCGTCTTGCAGCACATTACACCAAATGAGTGTCGGGGGAGCTGTGGCAGAGGGAAGGGACTGCTGCAGTGGGCCTCATCAGTGCTCCACAGCTTGTTCAAGGATAGCACTAAAAACAGCAAACAAATAAATGTGCACTCATACAGATAACACAAATGCGGGGCGAAATGTGCTACTATCTTTTCTATATGACAGAAAAAAAGAGTCATGGTGTTCAGTTAGTGTCCCCGAGAAACTGTGAAAAATGTCTCTAAGAGTGCTGTAAGCCACGAGTATCACAGAGGCCAATGTAATTTGATGTGGCCTTTCCTCGTGCTGTGATCATGTAGGCACAGCTGCCCAACAGCTGTGTCTCCATTTTCTTGTTGTAACCAGATTTAAAAAAAAAAAAAAAAAAAAAAAAAAGTCTGCAGTGACAACTGCTGCATCATTTCTCCGCACAGTGCACTGATCTGTGTGAAGGTGATTGCGATGTGATGCTCTAATTTGGGTGGCTATCACACTTAATGTGCAGTAAAGCCTCATAGACAAAGCTTCTTCGTTCTAAATGCCCCCTCTACTGCGCCATGGCTCTCCCCGCCAACCCTCTGCTGGCTGTGTTTCCCCTTCACCCCCCCACTCCTCCCTTCATCTCCTCTCCCCACCAGGGGAAAGAGTTATAGCTGCCATAAAAGGCAGGTAATGCATTGTTAACTAATTCTGTCTGCTCAGAGCTGATATATCCTCTGCTCTAAATCTCCGTGCTTCCAATAAAATGCAAATGCTAATGCTTGCCCTCCATGAGCTGATATCATTTTTAACAGGCCAGAGGTAAATGCTAGAGGAGGGTGGGGTGGGCCAGAGGTAGTCTGTGACACGGTGGCGCTCTGAGCCTTCATGGTAGATTCTGGCAGAAAGGACTTGATCCACACACCACCGGCCAACAGTATGCATGCGTGTAAGTGTGCACATATGGTATGCACAGAGACTGCAACGGTGCATTTTTGATAATCCAGGGGTGTATTGGAGTGTCTGGTGTCTTTGTATCGAGAAACCAGAACTAGTAGCATTTCAATCAGTGCCCATTCACCATCAAATAACACCAATTTGCCTGCGGATGTAATGCATCATATTTCCATGTTAATAGTATTGTCATACTTTGTGTAACCTTGGGCTGCTAAATATTGATCCACTTCTAGATTTTCAATTATCCTGTGCCGTTTTTCTGCCATCTGGTAAGGACCAGTGATTTGTGTGCCTTCATATCTGGAGGCTTGTCCTGTAATTAGACCATAAATTAATTTGCAGAGAGGAGAGTGAGCAGGAGAGATTGAAGGCATTAAGTAAGTCCTCGGTGGTTGGAGACAGAAAATCATAGGGAACCACAGCGCAGTGTTTTATTCACTAGAATAAGATAATTGGATTACAAATTCCAACACCATAACTTTTCTGTCGCTGCATGTGTCACTTGTTTTTCTTTCAAGTATTTAAAACCATGCTGCTGCTAATGATTGCTTGTAAGTCAGTTCTTCAATAAATGGCGAGAAATCATCCACTGACATAATTATACCTAATTACTTGCAGTGCAGCAGCAAAATGATTAGGAAAAATGGGGCATATTAGTGTCAAAATGTGTGTGAAACTTTGCAGTGAAATGTGCTGTGAATCCATCAGTGGATTTCAAATGACCCCCCACGCAGACAGACAACAATTGTGCGCTTCAAACCTAGCTCTTATTTACAGCACAGCTCAAGCGGAGGTCCTAAAAAACCAAATGCATCTTGATTGATTTTAAATTGGGAGTATATGCTCTCCTGCAAGATTAGCTCATTGTCCCCTGCTGCTAAATTACACATAGTGATTGGGGCTGTCGCTGCACAATGTCTGAGCACTTCTGTCGTTGCTCTCTTTGCCATGTGGAAATTCACATTAGACAAGCCTAAGTTACTCGTTAAAGCAATTAAGAGGAAAAGTTATGTAACAGAATAGGCTCTTCTTGTAGCGGAAAATGCTAAATCAGCAGGATCTGAGTTTAAAACACTGTATACAGACTGCAAGATGTCATAAAGTGAATGAGGGTGAAGTTACAGTGAGACAAGCACAGCAGTCTGCGCGCTGGTGTACCTGCTCTACATGATACCTTGGGTGTTAGTCGGGCAAGGCCACAGCTGCCAGCATACTCTGATCATATCTTGTGGGGCTTGAGAGGCAAGGTCAGCCAACGCAGAGCCCACCTGCTCCCCCATTCTCCATCACACAGTCCCTTAGCCCTGGCCTCCGGGAGGAAACACGCCTGACTGCCGCGCAGCTACAGACAGCATGTGTCCCTGAATTTATGATGGCGACTTATTGGCGGCCTTTCACGTTAAAAGTCATCTTGAGTTTCCCCAGTCTAGCTGTATGTGTGGCAAGCGTTAATCCATTAACATTCAGAGCAGACACGTACAGAGCCTGGCTCTCTGCCAGCCCTGAGCCCTGACAGTCTTTGACCCACCGCTGACCACAACATTCTCCTGCTCCTGCTCCAAGCCATAGCCAGCCTCGACATAATACAGCGCCATAAAGTATCTAATGTTACACTGTATATGAACGTGAAGTATTATACGCTTGAGGTCCAATATGCAAGGCTTATAACCGAGTGAGAAGAGTCCAGCTGCCTCACTTTGGAATAGTGGGGAAAAAAATCACATCTGTCTACAGAACTCTACACATCTTACATTTTAATCGTAGGATGTCAAATGAACATAAAGTTTCAGTCCTTTCTATTTCCATCAAGGATTAGAGTTCAGAGGGGCCATGAAA